TCTTAGCTCCATGACCTCAACCACAGAAGTCCACAAACCTTTTCTTCAAAGCTCTGGAATTATGTGACTCGACTCTCAAGAGCCTGTTCTTGCGTCTCTCCGTTTAAATGCAAAAGAGAATCTGATTGGTCAGTTCCTTGTGGTTGTAAGACTGACATCCTCACTTCCTTGCTGACTATCAGTGGGGGCCACTCTCAGCGCCAGAGGCTACCTGTCTTCATAGCCACAAGGCCCCCTCAATCTTGAAGCCAGCAATGGCACATTGAATCCTTCTCACACTTCTAACCTCTAGTGTTCTCCATCTCTGACCTCTAGGCCTGGGTTAAAGGGCTTTGGTGATTCGGTCAGGCCTACCCAATCTCCCTATCTTCAAGTCAATTGATTTGGGACACAGCCTAATCACAGGAGTGTTATTTCATCTTACTTCCAAGTTTCACCCAAACATAAGGGGAAGAGATGACATTGGGGATATCTTAGAGCTCAGTCTACCACCGACCCCTACCTTTCTAACTTAACAGATGGATCCCCAAATGAAGACCACATCACTCAGCCTCCCCTATAGCTAGGTATAGCCATGTATCTAAATAGTAGCCAAAGAAATGCTGTATAGAAGCTTCGAGGAAACATCTTTAAAATACTGCCCGTGCCCAATGTACGTCCCCTTGTTTTGTTATTCATTCTTGCCACCTGGGATGTTCAATCTAATGGCTGGAACATCTGCAGCAATTTGGGACATGAGTGACCACAAGAATAGAAGCCATATACAAGGTGGAGCAGTAAAATAGAAAGAGCCTGGGTCCTAATGTTGTAGAGAACTATCCCCAGTGGCATGCTGTGAAATGCTAAACAAAGGTTTTCTGGGGGGCAAAACCCTCATTTGTAGCATTTTCCCATTTCTGTGATATAGTTCCCCACCATGGTCAATTCTGAGTTAGCAATGTGACATCATTGGGCAGGGATGCTAACAATTAGTGCTCACAACCATGGACAGGCTGGCCCAGCACCCCACTCTGTATCAACCCTGGGCTGCCTGCCCCAGGCTTCTGTTTCATCAGAGAAACATTCACTTGTATCTGATTTAAGGCACTGTTATTTTAGGGTTTCTGTTGCATGCCGACAAACCTAATCCTATGGTAATATTTTCCAGATTTTTCTCTCAACATTCAATTTTCTTGACTTGGATTTTTCTAGGATGTGTCCAGATCTAAGCAGGACGGTGGGTGTAGGGTACCAGGTTTTGCTTTCTGTAGGGGTCACAGCAGCTGCCATCTCATTCCAGCCTCCTCACAGTAAGATCACCCCACTCCCTGGCCAGCAGTGCTTGACTAACTCTGCAAGCTCAGAGGAAATAGAAGGGTGACTGTGCCAACAAAACAACAATCACCACCTTTTACCGAGACCCCAGGGCTGCCGCCATCATGGGAAATATTTGGAAGCAACACAACATTAAAACCCCACTTTATGCCTGGGCCGGTGTGGGTCAGTGGTTGAGCGTCATGGGTTCAATTCCCGGTCAACGGCACATACCTGGGTTCTGGGTTCGCTCCACACCCCCTGGTTGGGGCTCATGCGGGAGACAACCAGTCTATGTGTTTCTCTCACATCAATGTTTCTTTCTCTCTCTTTCCCTCGCTCTCCCTCCTTCCCACTCCCACTGAAAAAGCAATGGAAAAAATATCCTCACGTGAGAATTAACAACAAAAACCCACTTTATAAAGCTGCCTATGAAGGTTGGTGACATTCAAGACTCACAATAGACCAGGAGACTTCAGAGCAAATATACATCCCCATCACGGGAACACACCACTCACCTCTGAAAACGGAGCAGGGAACACACACAGCCCAGTCCCTTTTCTGTAGGTTTTAGTGGCACAGAATCACTCTGGCCACGTTCCACCCGCTTAGCCCAGAGGCCGTAGCCAGCCAGGAAATGGCACCCCCTCTCCATACCAGGAATCTGCACCAGGAACACTGGCTCCTCTGTCACAAAACAGCTTGTTGTGCCTACCTGAGTCTGGAACCCACCGATGGCACCAACGATCCCAGGAGACACAGGACGGCTGCAATGCTGCTTCCGCTCTCTTCATTCCAGCCTCTCTCCCAACAGAATGCGGATGGGACGTCCTCCGCGTCTCTCAGTATGAGCTGGTTTTGAGGAACAGCCTGGACTACATGGGATCCACCTGGACTCCTCATCTAATCCCCTCCTGCAGGTGTGTCAGGTGCTAGACCGGGTCAAGTCATTACATAATGAACTGGATTCCCCCAGGGGCACCTTCTGCAAGTACGTTACAGTCATCACCTAGGAATCGTGGTCACAAGGAATGAGCACAGCCAGCCAGCATGCAACACCTACCACATGGGAGATCCTGTGGGAAGTGTTTGCCTTTTCCCAGGTAATCTTCCTAAGAAACCGATCAGGTGGCCATTATTATTGCCAGCACTTCACAAATGAGGAAACTGAGAGCTGTGGGGTCAACACCAGGTCACCAGCTGGTGAGAGTGAAATTGGTATTTGCATCCAGGCTGACGCTGGACTTCTGGGAAAGGGGCCCCTGGATGCACCCTGCTCCCAGGTGGGCATACCTGGGCTGGGCAAGCACAGCAGGCGCAGTGCCATGGTGCTTTTAGAGGCCCAGAAAAATGGTTTCAATCTCTACAAATCAGAAGAAAAACATGAATACATAATAATGAATCCAACCTGAGTTACATTTGTCTTTTTACCAACATAATCATAAAATGTAATTTTTAATATTTTTTTTTATTAAAAAAGGGGCTCATGGTCCTAGCCAGTTTGGCTCAGTGGATAGAGATTCAGCCTGCGGACTGAAGGGTCCCGGGTTTGATTCTGGTCAAGGGCACATGCCGGGGTTGCAGGCTTGATCCCCAGTAGGGGACGTGCAGGAGGCAGCCAATCAATGATTCTCCCTCATCATTGATGTTTCTATCTCTCTCTCCATCTCCCTTCCTCTCTGAATCAATAAAAATATATTTTTTTTAAAAGGGGGGACTCATGAAGGCAAAAATACAAAGGATCCATGGAAGTTATCATGTGGCCCAGATTAAAGTGATAGATGTAGATGGCATGGCTGTGGGCGACAACCAGCGGGGGGAAGGTCAGAACGCTCTCTCACAACTAGGCACCTTGGGTAGAGAAAGTGTGTTCCAAGTTCGTGCCTCTGAAAGATTATGGGTCGCCAGGAGTTTGGGCGATGGGATATTCAGTGATATTCAGTGATGATAGTGATAAACAGTGTGAATGGATAACCCCCCATCTGTTCTGTCTCCCCTAAAAGGCCATTCAGACAAGAGAAATGAGTAAATCAGCCGCCTTTGCTGATATCTAACACGGTAAAGCACTGACATTGGATCTGTTTTTGTTTTTTTTTTCCTAAAATACAAATGGGATGGGCATCTGGCAACTTCCCCTTTCCCAGGGGCGCCTCCACAGGACAGGGGTTTGCAGAGACTCTGGACTCAGACGTGTCAGATGGTTCTGAGAAGGGGAGCAGCACGGCCTTGACTCCGCTGCTTATCTCCTGGCCTTGCTCCAGAGAATCAACTTCCCACGTGGGCGGACCTTCCATCAGGGCGCCCTGCTCTGTGCTAGGGGCAGGCACAGGACTCCAGCTGGACAGTTAGGATGCTCACTCCTTAACTTTTCATTTTTTAAAAATATATTTGTATTGATTCAGAAAGGAAGGGGGAAGGAGAGAGGGACAGAAACATCAATGATGAAAGAGAATCATTGACCGGCTGCCTCCTGCATGCCTCCCATTGGGAATGAGGCTCAACCACAGAGCAGCACCAGCCGGGCTGAATTTTCATTTTGAGCCAATGACATGAGGCCTACAGTCCATTAGAGTTCATTTATCTCATCGGTGGAGCCCTGAAGAGACTGTCCTTGAATCCCACTCACCAGAGCTGCCACCGATCCTGTTTTTGATATCCTTTGAAATATTGAGCTAAATCATATATTTTAACTAGTTTTTCCTTCTTTTTTTTTTTTTTTTTTTCTTCTAGTTAGTTAGAGTCAGTGTCTGGTGCTTATACAGAATTCTGGCTGATGGGTACCTTCCAGGTGTCCAAGGGTGGCAGAGATCAACCTTGTAGGACACTGAGCAGTGACTGCAGTAAATTCAAAAACATCAATTATTGGCATGTGAGCCTGCTAACTCATGCACTCCACTAAGAAAAATAATTTGCTATTGTTTAAAAATAGAAATCAAAGCATGATCAACAGAGTAGGACTAATCTATCCTGCCCTTTTAGACTATAATTATTAAAAGACTAGAGGCCCAGTGCACAGAATTCCTACACAGGTAGGGGCCCTAGCGGCTGCCGCTGCCTCCCTTCCCCCAGCCACCTGCCGCTGCTGCCGCTGGCCAGGGCCGCCCTTTCCCCTGGTGCAGTGGTTCTCAACCTTCTGGCCCTTTAAATACAGTTCCTCATGTTGTGACCCAACCATAAAATTATTTTCGTTGCTACTTCGTAACTGTAATGTTGCTACTGTTATGAGTCATAATGTAAATATCTGATATGCAGGATGGTCTTAGGTGACCCCTGTGAAAGGGTCGTTCGACCGCCAAAGGAGTCGCGACCCACAGGTTGAGAACCGCTGCGTGGCTGTCTGCTGCCAGCTGGGGCCTCCCTTTCCACAGTGGGCTGGCCAGTCCCGCCACCTGATCAAACTCCCAGTTGAACTCCTGGTCAAGGGGACAATTTGCATATTAGGCTTTTATTCAGAATAAGGAAGTGGAGCTCCTCCTCCCACATCCCTCTTTGGTGATGTTGAACAGCTCTCACAGTCTGCGCTCTGCACCTGCCCTTCCTGCCCCACGGTTACCACCTCTCTACCCATCACGAGTCTCAGCTGGGCCTTCCCTGGGCGGCAGGTGGCTACCCCTGCATGGCCTGTCTCATGCTTCACCTGTTTCCTCCCGGCTTTGGCACAGCCCAGAGGACACAGCTGGTATAAGTACCTAACAGACAACAAAAGCTGATTGAGAACTACTTTATTGAAGAGATTTTCTCCTAGAGTTCTAAACACAAAATGAATGCTGTTGGGGCAAGTGCTCTCATAGGCATCATTGCATTTAAATGAACCATATGATAATGTTTACACGGGAAGCCACACTTGAAATTGAAGACTCAATACAACCTTTATAACAAAGTATCAGTCATAACAAAACATAGCTATTCACTCTACAGATTATCATTTTCCCCAACATGACCACTGGATATGAAAACATTGTATAGACATCTAAGGAGCCCCCTCATTTTTTTTATAGAAAAATGACACAATAACACAAATTACATTTTCCATTTCTTTACTAGAAACAAACTATGACATCCATTTTGAGAAAGCACCAGTCAATCCTACCACAGTAATGACTGCACACTTTTGCTCCTCAGAATTGACAATCCTTTACAATTCATCTGTCTCCTGTAGGAATGAATGAAAATGGTTTTATCAAGTGCCTGTGTCAATGGGTGTGTATTTTATACCATGCTCCAAAGTGAACACAAGAAAATGAAAAACACACACTCTTATGTGAATGAAACATACAGATGGAAAATACCCTTAGATAGTTAGCACAAAGGCAAAATCAACTGACTTTTAGTCAGCACTAGTGTCTTAAGGATAGTTTCTTTATTAATACTTGTTATGGAAGTGTTTTAAAGGCATAGGTATAAATGCACATGCAAATAGCTTCCTCTCTCTATATACCCACTTCCCTAGCATTGCTCCTCCATTTCAAGGGCTCAAGCTGCTGAGCTCTTAGCTACGTGGGCTGTGGTGCCTAGTAAGCATCCCATATAATAAAAGGGTTTTATGGAAATCAACCAAATAGCAGAATGACCAGTCACTATGATGCGCACTGACCACCAGGGGGCAGACGCTCAATGCAGGAGCGTCTGCCCCCTGGTGGTTAGTGCACTCCCACACTGGGTTGACAGCTGGTCAGTGCAGTGACAGTGGCAGGAGCCTCTCCCACCTCCGCAGCAGTGCTAAGGATGTCCGACTGACCGCTCAGGCCTGCTCCCCACAGGAGCGGGCCTAAGCTGTCAATCGGACATCCCCTGAGGGCTCCCAGACTGCTAAAGGGTGCAGGCCGAGCTGAGGGACTCCCCTCCTTGAGTGCACTGGTCCTCTAGCTTTTAAATAAAGATCACATAACTTTTTCCCCCAAAATAAATGAAGTACAGAAAAGACTATGGAACGTAGTGAGGGAAAAAAGCATACCATCAAAAACAAAAGCGTGATGATCAAACTTACAGAAAAGCTGTTTCATGGCTGTTAGTAACTCACTAATGGACAGATTGGACCAGGACTGAAGAGGCAGCCAAGCCAGAGGCCCTGTGTGTCTGACACAAGTGGGCATCTTTGAGGGGCACTCTATCATTATGATTACGGTGGCCATTTTCACAAGGTGGTAGGCTCTTCAAGGTCAGAGATGGTGGCACATTGAAATCTGTACCCCCGGTTCTTAGCATTGTCTTGCACATGACAGACACACCGTACACATTTCTGGGAACTGGGCTCAATTGCCTCCTTGCTTTCAAAGCCATTTTGGGAACTATCTACTCACCTCATTCAGTGAGTCCTCTAAGGCGGGGACGACAGACTTCACCTCCCTGACGGACGGCATGGATGCCTAGACGTGTTGATGACATGGATTCTACAGCCCAGTCCTGGCACCGAGGAAAGGAGTGCCGCTCGCTCGGAAAGCCACCTTGAAAGAAGGAGGGCACAGATGTGCCCCACCCCCAGCTGGAAGGAATGCCACGCTCACCCATGTTACCGTTCTGTGGCTATGCTGCCTCTCGAATGCTCTGCTTTAAGCCACTACTCACTGCACGCTGGCAGACCAGGAAGGCCAAGGCCTTTCCCCTCCAACTACCTGTGCTGCCAAGAAGCAGAGTCACGCTTTTACCTGGAACCTTGAAAGCACGGCATCCACAGTGCTCAGTGAGAGCGTTTACTGAAAGAGAACAAGCATTTTCTTGATCATTTGCTTGAGATTTGTCTATCTCAGCATGACTTTAATTGGTATCTAAGGCATTTGGAATTACTTGAGATATGGATTCCAAAATAAATGGCAGAGTTTAACTCTCTTTGGTATTCAGGCGTCATCTTAATCTGCTTGTTAACTACTAGTATCCATCACCTTCTAAGTACTTCATGGTTATGACTTAACTAATAGTTGAAATAATCAACTCTTACCCATTCATCCAAAAAACTTTCAAAGAACACGAAAGGGAGAAGCCTCTGAAACTACAAATGTTGAAAAGACAGCCAGAAAGAATGACAGAAAGAACCAGTAATGCCCCTCTGCCAATCCACGCTCAGGGCTCACTCTCTGCCATTCAGACCATTCTCAGTGAACGAGGGTGCTTCTGGCAGGATGGCCACCATGGGGATCCCCCCAGGAACCCTCTCCCATAATGGGAGGTGAGCACCCCACAAAAGGCATCTCAGAAAAGAAAACACCTTTAGAGAAAGAAAGAAAACAGAGGGATCGTATCAAAAAGCAAAATCCTGGAGGTGAGGGGAGATTTTCAAAGCAACTTCACTTTTCACATAGGTAGTCTTCACTGGAACATGGCACCAACATGGGAACAGAGCTAAATTAAAATGACCCTCAAAATGTCAACACAGCTCATGTGTACCGCAGGAAGGAGGATGTCCCAAATCCACTGGTCGGTTTCTATTGGACATTCCACCTTGCCCCACACTGCTGGCAGCCGAGAGCAACAAAACCTTTTTAAAAGTCTGCATATCTCAGAGTTATAATATACCAGCCTATACATGTGTACACACACACACACACACGCACACAGGTATATGCACATGTACACACACAGCACACCTGATTTATAAAAAGAGCTTTGTGGATCAGGGTATGCCTTCACTTGGGCCAAGAATCTAGTTGTTGGCATTAGGAAAATGGACCCAAAGAATGTAATCAGGAAGAGAACTGGTTGGCAGGATTAACATTGCATTTTATATAATATTTATAAGCTAGTATCCAATTGCTTGTCCAGAACTAATTCAACTGGCCAGAATCTTCTAAATATATAATGTCAAGCCTTAAAAAGTTAAGCTCTGTAGCAACAGAAGTTAACACTATCTAAAATAAATTATATTTTTAAATACATGTAATGAAATTATAGGTCACTAGAAATTCAATTCTATAATGAATATAAAGTAATATGAACCTATTGTTAAAGTACCATTCCCAGGAACATTTCAGCGCAAAGTCTAAAAAAAAAGGGCTAAGAATTTGAGAATAAATGGATATGACTTAGAAACCCTGAACCATATTTCTGAGTACTGGTAGGATTAGTTGGTGACAAGATACAAAGGTCTGTCTCCATGGCCACAATAAAGGCTTACCTCATTTTACCTAGCAGTGTTCCTGAAAAGTTGTGCAAATGAAGTTTTTACAGCCAGACCCTCCTTTTAAATATGCCAGGAGGCCACGATTGTAGATACCCTGGAGTGAGCCCTGAAACACATGAACTTTGAAGCAGTAGCGCCCCTAGACCCCGTCTACACAGGGCACGCACCTGGAGGCACGTGGGAAGCGGCTGCCGTGATGAGCGTGCCGTAACCCTGTCTGCTTTGCTGCGGGGCTCTCCTGAAGTGAGGCGCACTGTAGCAGGAATGTTAGGATGGAATCCAGAGCACAGCTGACCTGATTCCGTTACAAAACATCAGAGAAGTTCAGAAAGTGTTTTTCAATCAAAACAAAATTCCTGTAAATATGTGTGTTTTGTAAGAAATGCTGATCTATGATGGGCAGAAGCTTTTATCCACTGTTAACTGACTTACTGAAAACATGCAAGTGCTTGAACTGGGCTCCGTTGGATTTAACAATCAAGTAGAGCTCCTTACCTAACTTCAGAAATAGCACCAGATGCCACTCCACTTCTATCAGAGCCTCGTCCCCTCTCCAGCGCAAGCCGTTCACAGCTTTCCTCACCCTACCTCACCAAAGCAAAGCGTGAATTAAAAGGCAAAAATTAAGTTAGAAAGATGCTTGGTCTAAATATAAGGTTATTTTTTCAGTCTTAAAAAAAAAAGAACTAAGTCAAATACATTTACTAAAAGTAACTCTTAAAAGGTGATTTTTTTTTCTTATTTGGTGTTTCCTTTTCTTCCCCTCTGAATTTAAGACTCCACTTTAAAATACATATGAATGCATCCTTCTAAACAATATATTCTCTATTAAATAAGCAATGCAACTTCTCTGGCCACATCTATCTGCTACTTGCCACATAAATGAAAAAAGTAGTTATATCTGCCTATTTACTCAGCATTTGTAATTGCAAAAAAGACTGGAAAAATCGCTGAGGAAGTTTTTATGCAAGTTTTGGGGAGGACTGGATGCTTGCAAGGCTTCACTGTAGGGTTCCATCATTGTATGTTTCCTAGAAGGTAGTGTGCAAATGATACCTGAACACAGTATATGTGGTTATAACTGGGGGAAAGGTGGAGACAATAGTGTTAATACAAATGTTTGTCAAGTAAATTAATAACCAAAAAAAACACTTTCACTTAAGGTATTAGGATATTTCAAGTGACCGAAATAAAACAGATTTTAAAATCATCTCTACCATTCGCGCCAATTACTGACTTTGGCCCTTTACTAAGCAGACACAATGAATCTTCTTTTCAATGATCAGCTTTTGTCATTGGCCCAAGGTTATCATAGCTGGATGAAAACATGATCATGGATTTGCTCCCATAATTTAAAAACCAATAATTAAAAAAATAATAATGTTGGTCTCTTTTCTCCACAAGTTTTCAAGTAATTAGTTCAAGTAAGCTTATTTACAGCTGTTGTATATGTGACCTATGAAGTCAGCCTCCTTGGAAATGGGGCCCTACGTTTTATTTTTGTCTTGAACCAGGCTTCTTGTAAATACTATGTCGATTCAGTCATGTTTCCGTTTTATTGGGCAGATAAAGAGAGGAAACCAGCAAGTTATGTCCAAAGGCCGGAAAACGCCTAAATGCTTCCCAACTATCTGCGAAGATGTTGTACTTGAGGAAAACTCGATGCTCCAAGCTGGTCGACAGGGTCACGTCTCTGCTCATGATGTAGATGCCGTCGTTATGCAGCGCGCAAGTCAAGTTAAGGCCCGACTTGGACGTGTTCTCCTTGAGGTAGAGCCACTGCCGGGTGACAGTGTTGTAGGACTGCACGGTGAGCATGTCCTCACTCTGGCTGCTCCTCCGGTTGGGCCCCAGTTCGTGGAGACACCCCCCCACAATGTAGATGGTCTCCTCCACCGACACCATCTGCTGCTTGCGAATGTGGACGTCACATGTTTCAAAGAGGGTCCAGATGTCGGAGGAGGGGCAGTACTGCAGAATGTTCATGTTCCGGTCTGGAACGAGAAAAGAAGACAAATAATGACATGGCCACGAGTAACACCACCAACTGCCTACCAGTGGTCAGCAAATTGCGGCTCGCGAGCCACATGCGGCTCTTTGGCCCCTTGAGTGTGGCTCTTCCACAAAATACCAACTTCTGCGCATGGGCCACAAAGTTTCAATTGCACTGTACGTGCGCGCCCGCACGTGGTATTTTGTGGTATTTTGTGGAAGAGCCACACTCAAGGGGCCAAAGAGCTGCATGTGGCTCGTGAGCCACAGTTTGCCCACCACGGGTAGGCTGTATATAACCGCCTACCTCTCCCTGATAACCTGGTACACAGAGGGGCAGCTATTTCAGACAAGTAGAGGCTGGGAACACAGTTTTGCAAATGACTGGGAGGAGATCCGTTTAGAATCATCCCACTCACTTCGCATTCACACATGTCCCCTCCCTGGGACGCTCTCAAAATCAGTAAGACCAGTGAGGTGAGCAGTTGTGACCTGGGCACGTCCCCTCCTCCCTTGCACCCATTGTTTGTTTGTTTTTAAAGATACTTTTTTTAATGTCTGTCTTCTGATTCTTTGACAGCATCTTGTTGGTTTTTTTAAACATATATATTTTTATTGATTTCAGAGAGGAAGGGAGAGGGAGAGATAGAAACATCATTGATGAAAGAGAATCATTGATCGACTGCCTCCTGTACACCCCCTACTGGAGATCGAGCCTGCAACCCAGGCATGTGCTGTGACCTCCTGGTTCAAAGGTCGATCCACTGAACCAAGGCAGCCAGGCCCTTACACCTTTTAGAACCACCAAGCCAATCAATGTAAAGAAAATCAGAGCCTCAGAAACTTCATCAATACCTATAGACTACTGACTACTTAATACAGGCAGGCTGAGCCCCCAGGGATCTATTCTTGACAAAGGATTCTACAAAACCAGACAAGTGAGCAGGATTCTTATGGGCTGTCAAAAGGAAAGGACAGAAAAAGGCAGGAGAAATGCAAGTCTCACCTCTGGCTGTCAAGCCATAGAATCACTGGCAATTCTACTTCCCAATTGTTAACACCAGAGACACACTGACAAAGGCCCTTCCCTCTCCCTGGCCCATTTCACAGGAGACAGTCATTGTGTGGATAAAAACAGATAGCAGAGGGGAGACTGCTTGCTCTGACATTACTTTGAATGAAGGGGAAGAATTGCCTGCTCTCCTTTTAAAAATGCTTGTGAAATTTAAAATATTTAGTTTTGCCCTGCCAGAGTGGCTCAGATGGTTGAGCATCATCCCATGCATCGAAAAGTTGCTGGCTGGATTCCGAGTCAGGACACAAACCTGGGTTGTGGATTTGATCCTCAGTTGGGGAGCCTACGGAAGGCAACCGATCAATGTTTCGCTCTCACACTGATCTCTCTCTCTTCCTTCCCCTCTCTAAACATGTCCTCAACTTAGGATTAAAATAATAACTATATATATGGTTTCATTTTTCTTTTTTTCCCCCTTTTCTCCTCTAGGAAAGAATAAATAGACTATTTTAGCCTCACGGGGGGGGCGGGGGGGGGGGACAGGGAAGTGATGAGTTATCAGAAAGAATGAACTTTCTATGTGTTGTGTTTTATTTTATTATTTTTTAAATATATTTTTATTGATTTCAGAGAGGAAGGGAGAGGTAGAGAGAGATAGAAACATCAATGATGAGAAAATCGTTGTCTGCCTCTTGCACGCCCCTACTGGGGATCAAGCCTGCAACCCGGGCATGTGCCCTTGCCTGGAATTGAACCTGGGACCCTTCAGTCCACAGGCCGACGCTCCATCCACTGAGCCAAGCCAGCCAGGGCTGTATGTTGTGTTTTAAAGAAACAACACAGTCTATCAGTGTAAGACAGCTCAGCTGGGGAACTGACTGCACGCACAAGTGTACAGCTTTCCCACGGCTGCAGAAGTGGGAGCAGTGGGAGCAGCACTTCTACCTGAGCTGGAAGGACTCGCCACAGAGGGCAACGATTAAAGAGCTCCACCACAATGTCGGTGCCAAGAAAAGTGCCTCCAAAGGGGGCACAGAGGGAACGGAGAAGAGACCAACCCTGTGTGTGCACACGCCCAGACCTGCAGGAATACCAGAACTGCTATAGCTTTAGGGAACTGTCCTCCTGTTTCCCACCCACACCAATACCTCCCTATATTTCTTTTTATTGCAGCTATTGTGACAAAGCTCATTCTAGGAGACGGCCCTGGGGAGTTTGATTGCTAATCTATCAGAAAGTGCTCCTTAGTAACCTGGCTTCCCATGGCATGAATAAAGGACTTATTCTGGTGAAGCGTCAGTGTATTTCTCAGTTCCAGGTCAGAAGGTCTTCCCAGGTCTCCTGTAAATGTTTTCTCTCCTCACCCAACAAAGGTTCAGACCATGAGGAGGTGGTTTGAGTTGAAGAAATGATCTTTTCTCTTTTACATGTAGAGTTGATGCTGACGTTTAACAAATTACCCTTTTTCCCTTTAGTAGCTACTATTACTTTCGAATGAATTTTCTTTTAAGTCTTCAGTGCCTGCCCAAGAATTATAATAGTCAAATAGCTATCAAAAAATCATGAACTATAACTTTCTGAATTTTAAAAGTCTCACCTAATGAAGTCAACAGGCTGAGAACCCAATTTGAAGTCCTGAGGGTTTTTCTTCTTTTCTTTTTTTTTTTTCATAACAATTATGGTTTGTTTTATGTACAAAGGACTATTAGGAAATGCTGGGAAGAGACTAACCAGTGGAGAGGGCAGCTTCAGCGTACAAGGAACTGCCCTGCCCTCTCATCTCAGAAAACTCGTTTTCAACGCTTACACAAACATCCCTCCATCCACCTCACCTAACCAGCCCATCATGGGCATTTGGCTTGCGGAACCTGGGACAGGAATCACAGTGGGTGGCCCGAGTGAAAAAGGTACATTAGCCGTGGCTTTTGAAACTAGAAAACACACAAGCAGGGGTTTTCCAGGTCAAATCTAAAGAACACTGGCTCAGCCAGGGTCATGGAAAATCTGGGCCATCTACCAGCAGGGCACTCTGGGTCAGTGCGGCCTGCCAGGCTTCACAGCTCCCGCTCGGGAGGGAGGCCCAGAGATCTGTGTGCGTAGGTCAGCCCAGCGGGCGCACGCTGTGTTACAACAGCCAGAGGGGAATCATAATTTCTTAGAAATGTTCACGAGTGAGTAGCTGTACTTACTGTCTTCAGAGAAAAGACACGAACACAGGGGTACATATGCACACACAGGAATTCTCTGGAGGTTATGGTTTACGTAAGCATATAAAGTTGGCCACTCAACCTGAACACCAATGTTGAAGATGAAAGAATTGAGCCCTAGCCCGTTTGGCTCAGTGGATACAGCACTGGCCCATAGACTGAAGGGTCTCGGGTTCAATTCCGGTCAAGGGCACGTACCTCAGTTGTAGGCTGATCCTTAGCTCTGGTCAGGAAGGCAACCAATCGATATGTCTCTCTCACATCGATACTGCTCTCTCTCTGTCTCTCCCTCTCCCTTCCACTCTCTCAAAAAATCAAAAGGAAAATATCCTTGGGTGAGGAGGATTAACAAAATAAAAAGAGAAAAGAATTGAGTGCTAGGTTTCATTCCCCCGCCCCCCGCCCCCCCCCCCCCCCCAATTATTTGTAAAGGAAAGGCTGGTAATTATCTTCAGTGGAGAATCACTAGGGAGGGACACTGGGAATAGCTCCATGGGTGATGGAAGCCTGAGTGGAGGGGGAAGTTCACTGTTCCCCCTACACTGCTCCTTGTCACTGCCTCTCCTTAAATGCCTAGACAAACACACCACCGGTAGTGAGCTTAATGATGGCCCCCAAAAAGGTATGTCCACCTCCTAACCCCCAGAACCTTGGAATGGGACCTTGTTTGGAGAATGGGTCTTTGCAGATCATCCTGGATTACTCAGGTGGGCCCTGAATCCAGCGAGAAGCGTGTTCTTGAAGGAGACAGAAGAAAAGACGCAGACACACAGAGGAGAAGATGCATGAAGACAAAGGCAGAGACGAGCACTATGCAGCCACTAGCCAAGGTACACCTGAAGCCACCAGAGCTGCAAGTAGCAAGAAAGGATTTTCGCCCTGGCCAGTTGCTCAGTTGGTTGGAGCACCATCCCATGTACCACCAAAAAGTCACTGGTTGGATTCCTGATCAGAGCATATACCCAGGTTGTGAGTTCGATCCCTGGTTGGGGTGCATATGGGAGGCAACCAGTCGATGTTTCTCTCTCACGTCCTCTCACATGTTTCTCACATGTTTCACTCCCTCTTTCTTTCTCTCTAAAATCAATCAAAACATATTAAAAAGAAAGAAATGATTCCCCTCTAGAGCCTTCTGAGGGAGCGAGACCCTACCAACACCTTGATTTAAGACTTCTGGTCTCCAGAACTATGTGAGAACACACGTTTCTGTTGTTTTAGGCTACCATGTTCACGGTCAGTGGTTAAATCAGCCACAGGAAACTAACACAGCACCCACCACCCTCCCCACCAGAGCATCTGTTTAGAGTTCGCTCTAAGAAGAATTAATAATAATAAAAAAAAGTGAATCAGATGCTCATAAAACACCTTACAGTCAACTTCTTCCTCTAACATAAATCCCCAAAACAGGACACATTTGGTTATGGTGAAAAGAATGTTTGTCACCTGCGCTTGTATCAGCACGTGGATTTTTGTCTTATACAATGTTACATGTGGTCGCATACAGCTCAGTGGGCCACCAGCATCACTTCCCCAGGCCTGTCCTGCCCATGTTACACCACAGAGAAGTGACAGGTTATCTCATTATGTCAAATAGAGTGGTCACTGGGACTTCAATGTGGCCCAAAGTCCTAGGAGTCCAGTTATTCCTTTTCTGAAATTCTGGACATTCTACAGTCAGATAGAGCAAATGAAGAAATAAATTTCCTTGGCCAGCCAGGAGATGAATATGGAAACAGCAGCTTTATCGGTGAGGTGAGAGATCAAAGGAAGGGCACCTCTTCCTGGTGGCCGACCATTGCCTTTCTTCCCACAGCCAAGCTGTGTTCTGCCAATAACCTGTGAGGGGCTCCTACTATAAAGAGCCGTATAAAACCTGCTGGAGAAACTTTTATCTCCAAATTATCCTATATAATAAAAGCTTAATATGCTAAGTGTCCGGTCATCCAGTTGGCCGTTCAACCAATCAAAGCATAATAAGTTAATGATATGCTAAGGCCACTCAACTGCTCGCTATGACGTGCACTAACCACCAGGGGACAGACACTCCCATCGGTAGGTTAGCTTGCTGCTGGGGTCTGGCCAATCGGGACTGGGCAAGAGGGCCAGACATGCCCTGGAGCCCTCCTGCGGTCCCTCCCCAGCTGGCCAATCTCCCGTGTCCCTCCCCGGCCCTGATCATGCACCAGTGGGGTCCCTCGGCCTGGCCTGCGCCCTCTCGCAATCTGGGCTGAGGGATTCCCTCCCCCACAAGTGCACTAATTTCGTGCACCAGGCCTCTAGTTAACTATAAAATGCCCACCAAAAATGTGAAAAAATATATGCATAGTTTAATAAATAGCAGAACCACCTCCCACCTACCAGTCAGAAAAGAATCTTCTCATATCATGTTCTCTTGCTCCTCCTATGGTGTGTAAGCAACAGCTGAGAGCTGCGTTTCAGAATCTACAGCTCATATGTTTGTGCTCAAAACAGGAGCAAATGAAAACAAAACTCTGCAAGGATGTCTGGCACTGAATCCCATAGTGCTGGATGCGGGGGATTCATGTGTGTTGGGAAAAAGGATGGGAATGACCCAGCCAAGTCTTAAGATGACAAACTATAAGGCTAGCTTTCCAGAGCAGAAACACATATTTTCTTCACAGTTCTCCCTACCCTATTCAAAGGCATCAAAGGCCCCTCCTGTCCAAACCACCCTGTCACATAGGACTCGCTTCCTTCCAGATGTGTAAATACACAGTACGTAATGCACAAAATCACACTTGTGTACACTGGAGTGTTTCCTCTGGCAGCTTCTGCCCTTCCCAGGCTGCCTGCAAAGCTGACATATAAGAGGACCACTTACTTGGCCCCTTCACTTACCTTTGGTCGTATATCCTCCAATGACATAAATTTTCCCCTTACACTCACACGCAGAGAACTCAGCCAGAGGATTGGGTAAGGGTGCCACAAAATTCCACGCATCCTGCTCAGGATTGTAACACTCAACATTAGAAACGACCTGCCCACCAATGGCATAGAGTTTTGAATTAACGGCCACAAGTTTGAAGTTAGACCTGAAAGACAGAACACAAGGGTTCACAAAGTCAGTTCTCTTGATCATGAAGAAATAAGACAATGGCAGGAACTGCCAAAGAAGAGTGTGGAACCTGTTGGACAGAAGAAGAAAATTCGCTCTCCATGTTGGGTGACATTCGGCCTGGGGACCGAGGAATGGCCAAAGCACATCTCAAATTTCACTCTTGTCCCCAAAAGTCCACAAGAATGGTGCATTCTCCAAACTTTAGCCACTGAAGATAAGCAGTTCAATATAACAAGAACTGATCTTGCTTAGCCTTACACCAGAACTAAAGTTACTCTGTTTACTAAACTCAATACCTTCTTTTCAGGAGCAAGACCAAGGGTTAAGGGAGAAAAGCACCAACTCCACTCCCTTGTCTCTCTCTACTCAAAATGTTTACCTCATTCTTCCTACTCTGTGGGTAGGCTCTATCCGAGGTAATCACCAGCACTGCTTCCTTACACAGACAGGCATATGCAAAGTGTGGTTGCTAAAGGGTGATTCAGAGACCCCATTACCGAGAGCACCCCAAAGGAGATTGCTGTTCCTCCCTCCTCCATAGGAGGGCATCTTATATGGTGCTTCAAAACAGGTAAGGTGGGCAGGTAAGCACTGAACTGATTAAAACTATTTTGATCCAGCATTCTTAGGGCACTTATACATGTTAACTCAACAAATACTTATATTAACAAGTGCTCACCTATCATAGCGTTAAATGATTTTTAAAAAGAGAAATACACTGATTTCAAGCCCCACAATCAGTAATAGAATTAAACGCTGCTCACAGGCTTCAGCACATGGGGAAGGAGAAACATTTGGAAGTGCTGCGCCAGTCACAATAGTATGAGCAGCAGCATGATGCAACAGAAAGGCCTGGGGCAGAAATCAAAACACTGGGTTTGAGTCCCAGCTCTGCTGATAACCAGCTACCTGACCTGGGCCCAACCCTTCACTTCCTCATCTCTAGCACAGGGATAATAACCAGCACAGGGTGGTCAAAACAATTAGAGCAAACAATTGGTCAGAAAATACTACACAGAGATAAGCTACTAGCATTATAGTTTCTCCATTTTCTATATCTATATCTATATATATAAAAGCCTAATATGCACAGTGTTCCCTTGGGAGTTCGACTGACCGGGAGTTTGATCGCTTGCTATGATGTGAGCTGATCACCAGGGGGCAGCGCAAAACGAAGGTAGGCCCCAGCTGGCAGCTGGCAGCTGCTAGGGACCCTACCCATGCATGAATTTCGCGCACTGGGCCTCTAGTATGAAATAAAGAGGCTAGACCAGGTGAATTTAGAGGCGACGTCTAACGCCAAAACAATGATTTCTTCAAAAGTAACAATATCCAAAGAAAGAATGGGGATAGAGGCTACATAGGAGTGAAGTGTGTAAGAGAGTAGATGAAGCAGCGCAGTGGACCAGTGGACCATGCCTGACCTAAAGGTGTTTGATAAACTCTGATGCATTAGAATTAGGACATATGTGAGTGATAGCCACCTATTAGAAAACTAAGATTTTTTTAAGTGCTTGTAATGTTTATTCCTAAGCTTTAGTTTAGTTTTCTTTTTCAAATCAGAGAGTGAATAGAGTCCTCTTCATCAAGAAGCCCATATTGTCTATTAAACCCAGCCAGCCATTCCATTTTTCATGCCAACAGACCTCACAGTGGCGGCAACTACTGGGGGGTCCCTGATTCATGTTGCTTACTTTTCCTGCTGCCAATGGTCCTTAAAATCTGACCATGATGCCCTCCCTATGCGTGCAAATTTGGGGAACCAAGGGAAATAAAGCTTGCAAATAAGCACTAAATTTCACCAGCCCACAATTTGTTTTTGCTCCCTGTAGGTACACAGATAGTAAATTTTGTCAGATCAAAACAGTTCTTAGTATTCAACCAGTAGCATCATTTGTCCTGAGCAAACATGCAAGGGGCTTCTTTTTGAGGCTGAATGAATAGGCTGTTAAAAGTAAATGCTATCTCTCCAGACCCCAACATGCTCGAATTCACTCGAAGGGGAACATTTTTCTACACTGACTTTGTATCCAGATGAAACTGCCACCCCAAAACAGACCTCGTAATGAAGAGGCCTACTGCTAAAGGGTCTGAGCCCAGGCTTGTACAGGGAAATCTCGGCTCCACTGCTCAACAGCTAAGTGACCATGGACACGTCACTGAGCCTCAGTTTCCCCACCTGTGAGGTGGGGATAAGAAGAGCACAATATTGCACGTGGTAAGGGTTGAAAAGGGTCACACCTGCAGAAACAGGTCACTTAGAGGAAACGCGTTTCTGCATGTCCCACGCCTGAGTTTCTCCACTTCAGGAGGGTCGGTTTCTCATTTGTCAACTACAACTGTTACTGGCCGTGATGCACTCTGGGATTCTGTACAAAGTGCTCTCTCATTCATAAATTCTTGTCATTTACCGCCTCATTTCCAATTTTCTAAAAATAATTCTTCCACTCTCCATTTCCTGAATGGTAAAGGTATGAATTCAAGCTATAAATTATTTTTAAAATTAAGGCCTCTGCAGTGTTTTTCTTAATATTGATCCCTGACAATACATTCAGGAGGCAACAAGAAGAATTTATAAAACCAGAAAATTTGTTGGAGCTACATACTTGACTTACTTATAGTAAACAGAAAGGAAAGTAAGAAAAATTCAATGATTTAATTTCTACTTCACTTAGAAGAAATACAATGCTCTTTAAATCCTTAAAAGCTAGCCCTGGCTAGTGTGGCTCAGTGGATTGAGCACTGTCCCATGCACTGAGAGGTAGCTGGGTCGATTCCAGTCAGGACATATGCCTGGGAGGTGGGCTCGATCCCCAGTAGGGGGCATGCAGGAGGCAGTCGATCAATGTTCTCTCTGATCAATGTTTCTATCTCCCTCTTCTTTCCACTCTCTCTAAAATCAAAAAAACACACAACATATTCTTTTTAAAAAAATCCTTAAAAGCTAAGTTACATAAAATCATGATAAACACAAGTGCACAAATATCAATGATTGATAGCTGTATACACTGTAGGGAGATAGAGTTGCATAGAGTTCTGGCCCTGTGACTACATGCAATTAAACTCAGTTAGCCTCAGTTTCCTCTTTGGGGGAATGGGGCCAATAATAATACCTACCTCACAGAGATGCTGTGGGCATAAAATAGGAATTGACACCTAAAATAGTGACCACAGTAAGCAGTGACCACAAAATGCTGCCCAGAGTACGAGCTCAATTCATTGCTATGAATTGCACAGAAAAGTCTGTTACCATCACAGTGAAAATTAGAGTGAAATGCCAAGGTCCTTTCTCAACCATTCAGAAGAGGATTGTATAGTCCAGTGATGGCGAACCTATGACACGCATGTCAGAGGTGACACGCGAACTCATTTTTTTGGTTGATTTTTCTTTGTTAAATGGCATTTAAATATATAAAATAAATATCAAAAATAAAAATCTTTGTTTTACTATGGTTGCAAATATCAAAAAATTTCTATATGTGACACAGCACCTGAGTTAAGTTAGGGTTTTTCAAAATGCTGACACACCGAGCTCAAGAGGTTCACCATCATTGGATAGTCTGAGGACCCTCCAGGTCCTTCTGCCTCTTCTCTCCTCTTCTGCTGCCTACTTTCTGCCACTTCCTTATGTATTAACCTCCCCCGGGGACCAGGAAGAAGAGAGGAGAGAGGTTAGGAAACAGAATCAGTCATGGTTCCTACCTACTACCATCTCTGAGAAACTTCAGTGCGCAAAGCAATTTAAACTATTGGCCAAAATTATATTGGCGGCGGGGGGAACGGGGGGGGGGGGGGGGGGCGCGGAGAGGGTGAATAGAAACGTAGTTTGCTTGCTTTCCCACTATTCTCAGGCTCCACCGAACATTAACCAGAGTACAAAATCTCTTGATGGCTCCAGGACTCTAGAAATGCTCCAAAATACTAAACTTCGGCGCAGAGGGCAGGGGCAGCGAAGGCCAACAACGCTGATGCCACCTCTGCCAGGAGACTGTTCAGTCTCTCTCCCAGCCTTGCTGTGGTCACACGCAGAACAGGAGGGCACACCCAACTCCAACTTCACAGCAAAAGTGCAGGGCAACGGAAGGGACTAGAGGCAACTTTAGAAATAAAGAAATTAATGAACTGACCGTGGCCACAATGGCCGGCTTCTGCAAGTTATCGCTAATTCAAGTGAGGAGGGAAAGCAAGCAGTTTTGTGAGCACACAAGCTTTTACATGCGAAGAGCTATGTCCCAACAACGCCCAAGATCAAATCCACATTCGGGCCACGGGCAGGTTGCACGCCTGGACTTTAAAGCATCCTCTCCAAGAGTGATGGGGACTCGCTGCCATTTTCAAGCGTGTGGGCATAGCCCTAACCGTTTATTTTTGTATCTGCTGCTGGCCATTCGGCACAATGTTCTCCAGGGTGCAAAGGGTTTATAAAGTCTAAGCCGAGGGTTCCTGGCTGTCTTTAATTACGAACCTGGGATTGTGGCACTGTTCAGGGCCCGGGGAAAGCAGGTTGCTCTGCATCTGACCCTTGGTCAAAGTAAAACGGTACAGATCCGTCCCACAAGCAGCGAATCAGAGAGAATGGAAATTCTGGGTAAAACCTGCCATTCTTACTCGGGGTTCTAAGTTCCCTGCAGTGTTTCTGAAACTTGTGTTGGATGCATTAGCCAGAAACAAGTGGGTTTCATTTATACTTGTCTCATCAATTATAAATTCCTGCAGCCAGGAACTATGTCCTCCTTGTTGTTTATCCAATGGTGACAAGAAAAATACTGGATATAAAGGCTGTGGTGAAGCTGAAGCACACATGATAAAATTCTGAGAAGCAGCACAGTACCATAAAATATTTATGCTCCATTTCTTGGAAGAAAATACTTTTTTTTTTTTTTAAACATATTTTATTGATTTTTTTACAGAGAGGAAGGGAGAGAGAGAGAGAGTTAGAAACATCGATGAGAGAGAAACATCGACCAGCTGCCT